GAAGCAGGGTGGGGAGCCCCGACCCTGCATCCACCCCCCCCCCCCACAGGCTCCACTCCAGGTGTGCTGCCTATGGGTGAAGGGGAGCCAGACTCCACACTCCATTCTGCCACAGCAGCCACTGCCTCCTGTGGGTGGCAGCCAGGGCACGGGCACTGCTGTAGGGGGCAGGGGACTGTGTACCTGTGTCCCTGGCCCCATAGCCCTGGCAACTGGGGGCCCTTTCCAGCAGGGCTGGGGGGTGGGGAGCATAGTGAGGGGCATCATCAGGGCTGTGGCTTGGGAGTGAGGGGTAATGGCATGGGCAGGGCGCCAGCATATTAAGGCTGCTCAGCACCACAAAGCAGTGGCAGGGGATAGCTGCAGTTGGACCTGCATCCTGATGAGTGAAGGGTGCATGGGGAGCTCTGATTTTTCCATGATAAAAAACCCAAAATCAAATGCCAAAATGTATTAGGTATTTAGAATTTATTTTATTATAATGATTGAGGCACTGGTAGGCTTCCAAATTGTTTAAGAATTGTAAATATGTCAATAAAACATTGTATTCAACTGATTACCTATATATTTAGTGGCATTTCATTTTAGTCATAGATTTGGGGGGTTTTAATCAGAGAATTGGCGAGTTTTAAACAGAGAAAACCAGGATCTATGTGGATGAGCCAGTTGGCTACCATCTTTCATCCCAGAGGAGGCTGCAATTAAGCAATAGGTTGTCTATATTATGGTTGAAGTGCTTTGGGATGAGAGGTGCTACTTGGTCTTAAGTTTTATTAAGTTTCAAACCCCGGAAGTTACTCTGCCTTAGGGATTGTTTTCTAAGACTTCTCCTCCCATTACTGGATTGTGAAGGAGGCAACTTGAGCACAAGGGCTGAGAGTTTGGAGATGTGGGTTTCATTTCTGACTTGCTCTCTGAGTGGCCATAGATAAGGTACTTAACTCCCCTATTCCTGTAGCTTCTCCATCCAAACAATGAATACACTGCTTCTGTATGTTGCTTTGAGACTGGAAAAAGGGTGCTGTGCAACTACAAAAGTTAGTATTGTCTCTGAACTTAAGATTGACCTTTTCTGACATCTCAGACAAAATGTACAATTTTTGTGGTGTTTGATTATATTAAATTTAAAAAGAGATAAAATAGCCTCTATGTTGTTTTGTTAGGGAACCTTTTAGACAAAATTGAAAGGAGGCAAAATGTGGAATAAAAATATATGCTTTTTCTGCTCTTTGTGTCTGTTTGTGTTTCAGTCTCATCTCAAGGAGATTCAAAATGCCTTTGTTTCAGTTCTGTCTGATAATGATGGTAAGTAGTATGGTATCCATGAGGGTATTTTTACATTACTAAACAAAGAGCCAAGACTTTTGCTATGCCATGTTAGTTGCATAAATTAATTTAACACTTCTTTATCACTCATCAGTGACAAAAATATATGGAAATGTTATTTTTGCTCTAAAAGCAAGAGTCTTACAAAGCTTCTATTTGTAGAAACTTGAAATAGTACCTTTGTTTCTACCTCAGCATTCCAGCAAGAAACTTTGCCTTGGAAGTCATGCATTTGCCCCCTCTCCTGCCGTCATAAGAGAGGAGACTTTTGTGGTGGTCCTGCTTATTTTTTTGGTTTGAGCTCAGGGCTTTGATCCTCTACTTGTATCCAGATAGATGAAACCTCTGGCTGATCCCAGTTTCAGTCAATTAAGGCTTTGCTCCAAGGTCCATCTTCACACATGGGGCCAGCTAAAGGAATGCTGGCCGGAGGGACTATTCCTTTTAACTTTGGGCTCTGGACCAGGTCCCAGCTTCTTTGATGTCAGAAAGATATAGGCAACTCTTGGAATGTTTCCTGCTACAGGAGAGTCGGGGGAAAATTTACATGCAGCATGTCATCCTGTCTGGGGATGGAGCTCACATGTTGCCAGGCTACAGCTGCTTTCTAGTGGTGTTTTTGGCAGTAGTGATATCATTTTAACCATGTTACGGAACTCATGTTTTTTTTAGCTTCTACTTTTAATTGGCTCTCAATATTTCATTCTTATTATTTTGTGTGTATTTTATCAAATCTATTGCAGAACTTAGTCAAGATGTTGCTTCAAAAGGACTTGGACTAGTGTATGAACTAGGCAACGAACAAGACCAGCAGGAGCTGGTCACTACGCTTGTCGATACACTTATGACCGGGAAAAGGTACAGTGAGCTCAGAACTTCAGGGCTGTGCAAGTATTCTGTACTTGTGTATCCATGGCAGGACACAGAAATACATTTCTTATGCAAGAGAAGATCAGTTTTTTGGAGTGGTGGAAGTCAGCTCACATCTGCTCCATATATGTATCACAGTGAGTGATAGCTGGAGCTTCTTGTACTTAGCATATTAAGCAGTGCTAAGTGGTATAGATGTTACACTGGTACATGGGGGGGGCTTGTCTTGGTGACTTGGGACCAAGAGGCAAATGGAAATGGTATTTGGTCCTCTAAAGTGGGGATAGGCACCTGGCCTAAGTGTATACTTGGCCATGATGAGTGGAGTCAGATCCCAGGAGAAATTAAAATGCAACCATATACAATATGTTTTCACTTTTTTTAACTTGCTTGGTAAAGCCCTGACCTTTCTCAAACATGTTCCTAATGTTCTACATAACTAAAGGTAATGGACTTCTTGTGGTGTGCGTGGGTCATCACACCTGTAAATATCTATGGCGTTAGGACCCAAGTACAAGTAATTTCTTAGTTTAATAGAGCAACATGTATTCATTTGTGTCTGAATGTTCAGTGTGTGTAATATGACCTGTTTGCCTACAGTGCATGAAAAAGCTAATGCTGAGCCTCTTTCTATTCCCAGGAGCAAACACGAAGTGACTGGAGAAACTGTTGTATTTCAGGGAGCTCTTGGCAAAACCCCAGATGGGTAAGTTCAGTGATGATATTCCATACAGCAGGTGAGGATTGTGCCTAGATCTTCATACCTTTCTTTTAAACCTTATGTTCCTCGGTTTCTTCTTTTGATTGCTTGAATCCTGTTTCTTCCTTAATAATGACTGTAATTACTTCCCTATATCACTGATATGAAGCTCATTTATATTGCATCTGAATTATGTGCTGTATTTTGATCCACTTTTGATCAAAGTTATTGTGATGACTTGTTTCTATGGTGTAGTTATTGGTTACTATGGTGGTTTCTGTGACCAAAATTTAGTAATACTATTTTTTTTTCCTTTTTGCCTTCCCAAGTCAGGGTCTCTCTACATACAAGGAACTTTGTTCACTGGCTAGTGACCTTAGCCAACCAGATCTGGTCTATAAATTCATGAATCTGGCCAACCACCATGCAATGTGGAATTCCCGAAAGGTAATTTGATTTTTAGTACAAAATCCTGTGTCAACTATAGATTAAAAGTCCCCAAACAGAAAACTGCACAACAGGTGTGCAATTTCTACCTGGACCAGAGTGGGTAGGAAGGCTTTTTTCTTTTTGTATTTTATTGCCACTTCTAGTGTGCTATCACCAGCATGTAAAATTAATCATAGATTTAACCAGATTATTGCAACAAATCCTTACTAGTCTATGCATTGGCTTAAATCATCACTTCGTTCCACTCTAACTAATTGTTATAATGTGTTTTACTGGTCTTTTGCCTATTTCTGGAGCTATAGTTCTGCACTAGGCACTGTACAGATATTTGACAAAAAATGCTTAAATCTTAAAATTGAAGACGGAACAGCACATGAGTTTACTAAACAGGAGGGATGAGTCGCAAGATAACTGATAAGCAGGGGTCCCAGCATACTAGCTGGTCAGCCACCCTCACTGAAACAATACTCATGTTTCTGCTTACAGAAAGAGACTCTGGTTTATAGCCACTAGCCCCTTTTTCAAACCCAAAATGTTGCCTCACTCTCTTCCTGTTAATAGAACAACATCATGGCCATTTTAATTTTATTTCTAATACATTATTTTCTTACCTTTTGGAGGGATTGAGGACTAATTATGCATGTACATCCTGCTTTTGTGCCAGGGGTTGGACTAACTGGCCTTTGGGGCCCCTTCTAATTCTGCTGTTCTACAACTGGCTTTCTTTAAATACAGCATGATGTACTTAAGTAACTGAATAGATGGTGTGCTTCTGTCCTATCCCAGAGAACCTCTGTGCCCTGCACAAGATCATGCGTGCCCTTTTCCTGGAGTTTGGCTTTGTTGCAAATGTCATTTATAGCAGAATACAAACCCCAATATAAACATTTTTCCAAGGCCTGACCATGATATAGTTTTTCCTGGAGGACTTTGCTAGCTCTGCCCCTACATTGCTGCACCTCTCCCTCTTTCTTGGTCCAACCTCTCCTTCCCCCCTCCCATACCCTAAGCCCTGGTCAACCCAACTGTCATTACTTGGCGTAATTAACAAGCTGCACCTTTTACTATAAGGAGAAGTCAGCAGGACTTACTTAGCAAGCTTATACAGGGTTTGAATACCTGCTAGCAGAGGAGGATTGTGTTATCTCTACAGTTTCTAAACTGCAGGATCAGCACTGTTGCAGGGGCCTGATCCCATGTTATTAAGTTGTGGGAGCTTTATTGTTGCCTTCAATGGGATCAGAGAATTGAGCTCTCAGTGGGTAGCTAGACAGACTTGCACTTCCTTCAGGAAATGTCTGTTCTTTGTTTCAGGGAGCAGCTTTTGGTTTCAATGTGATTGCAACGAAAGCTGGTGAACAACTGGCTCCATTTTTGCCCCAGTTGGTTCCTCGGCTTTATCGTTACCAGTTTGATCCCAACCTTGGTATTCGACAGGCTATGACCAGCATTTGGAATGCGCTTGTCACTGACAAATCAGCTGTAAGTACATGCAAGAGTTGTTTGAGTGCAAGATCCTGTGCTTTCTGCCAGCCATGAGTCTCCTAAAGGAATTCCTTCAAGAAAATAGCTGAGGAAAATCTCAAGAGGCAGTTGCGTTCTTCGGTGTATGTAAAAGAGAAAATCCTCTGTTGCTATGTAGAGCAGTAGTTCTCAACCCATGGCTGCTGGGCTATGCGCGGCCCATTCAGCACACAGCTGACACCCATGTAACATCCTGTTTAAAAGGAAAAAAAATAAGTAAAGACTGCTGCCTGTGGTTTGTTAGTTAGGGAGAAAAACATAGGAAACAGTGTGTTTCCCCTTGCAGCTTCGTATAGTTCCAGCCTGCAAGGTGCTGCTTGTGGTTGGAGGAAGAAGGAGGGCGTTCGAGGGCAGGGGGCACCATGTGCATGTGTGCGTGCACACATGCATATGGCAGCCAGACAGCATGGAGAGCAGCTCCTGCAGCTCACTCCCAGTAAGTCTGTGAGAGGGAAGGGGGGGGGCAGATTGAAGCCCCTGTGGTAAAGGAGGGAGTAGAGTAGGGAAGGGCTGGGCCTGGGGGCACCACTTAGTTAGGACGGTGGGCCCTGGGGCTGGGACTGGGACGGAAATGTTTGGCCGTGAGGCCCAGCCAGGGAGTGGGATGGAGCCACAGGTGGCTCATCTGGGGCGGCAGTAGGGGTACTGGCTCCCTGCTGCTGTGCACACTCCCAGGAAAGGAGGGATGGGGGGCATGTGCCGCCTAGATTTGTGCATGGGGTGGGGGGGTGGATGTGCACTGCCCACTGCGGGCTCGAGGCTCCCCACCCTGCTGACCTCCTCCTAGGTGCCTCCACAGTAGAGTGGGGCAGGGAGGCTCAGTGCTTCTGCCAGGAGCCCCTCTCTGGCTGTACCACCATGGTAAGGTGCCTCCTTCCCACCCGGTAGCAGTGGGGGGCACAACTCTGCACTGCTGCTGCTGATGAGCAGGCAGGGGATGCTTCACCATGGCAGAGCAGCTGCCATGGGGCTTCTGGCAATGGCACCAAGTCTCCCTGTCCGCCAGCACCAGATCCTGCCTGCTGGGCCCCTGAGGCCCTAGGGAAAGGGCAGCAGGACAGGGAAGCCCCAGCCCACAATGGGCAGCCTGCATCTGCCCCACCTCCCATGGGCTCCACTCCAGCTGTGCTGTCCATGGGTAGGGGGGAGGGACCTCTGCTTCCCACTCCAGCTGCAACTACAGTCTTACTTCAGAGGGTCTTCTTCACAATCTTAGGCTGAGAGTCAGTGGCTGCATGATAAGAAACTGTCTAATTTATCCTGGGAAGGGCTGTCAGACATGAAAATAGGCTTCTTTCACTGTATCCAGACATGTGTGCCCCTGCTTACCATATTCTGGCTAGAAAATTGGTTGCAGTCTGGCCTTTCCCTCTACCATATAGGCTGCTGTGGTCCCAGGCTTTGAAGCAGAGGATGTGCAAATTGGGGCCAGCTTAAGCCAGATGGGCTTGACTTGTGCAGGGACAGCTCCAGCAAGGATGTATTCTTCTGTTCTGGCCAGAACCTCTGGAGAACCAGATGTCTTGTCTTATCCCAGAAGACCATGCTTGAGAGGTGTTCAATCTGGGCACATGCTAACTAAAGACCTGGACAGCTGTTTATCACTGCTGAAATCCTGCAGTCCATTATAGCTGCTGTGTGTGTAGAACCAATTGCATGGAAATAAGGACTTGCATTCTATAAGCTTCTCTATATTCAAGGGGTTTTTTTCCTACTAGGTGGATAAGTATATGAAGGAAATCCTTGAGGATCTGATTGGCAACCTGACCAGCAGCCTCTGGAGGATCAGGGAATCCAGGTATTGCTGAGGAGTAATATTTACTCTTAAAAAAACAAAGCAGAAAAATTATTCTTAACCTTAGAAATCCTATTTCCTATTGAATGGAGTGAGAAAAATTAAGGTGGTTTCTTCCAGCTACCTCCTGGAGAGTCCAGCATCCTGGTACTGTGCTGGGACATGACTTACTCCCAAACACATGCCTTCAAGGGTCTCAATGGTTTCTGTCATGCCACAGCTAAATTATTTGAAAATATAGTCTTTGATTGAAGATCTTGGTCTGTCTGTGGCCTGAAGTGTTGCTTAGTGTCGTGGTGAGAGAATATTGACAGCTCATCTTTGGGTATATAATACAAGTACTTGCTGACAAGGCAGTGCAGTTAGATACAGGTCTGGCAATAAACTCTTTTTAGTTAAATACTTTCAATATAATGCAAATACGCCATCGAATCCAAACCTCAGACCTGATCCTTTGATTCTGATCTACCCCGTTTGACAGACTCAGTAAGATACTGTATCCTGTCTGGAGATTAAGTCTAGAATAAGTGTAGCTAGAATACTTGTAGCAGCTATAATGGGATTGCATAGACAATCTTTTCTAATTGCATATAACTCCCAGTTTTTGCCTTTCTGGGTGAAATTATCTGCCAGGAGATAAACTTACATTGTTCTTGAAAGTTGGAGCAAAACCTGCTTTGTAGCTTTGGGGGAAGTAGGCAAAGTATCTATTTCAATATATAAAATGATAAGATGTGAATTAAAATATGAATTACAGACTCTTAAAGGTCAATGGTGCTCATAGTTTTGGCCGCATGGGCCAAATTAATGGGATCAGGCCTGCAGGACTGCACTGTCTCCCCGCATGAGTGGGGATCAGACCTTGTGCCACCCTGCACACCCATTCTAGCCATGGCCTGCTAGCACGTCTCAGATCTGTGGAGAGCCCCTTGGAACAGATGGCACAGCACCAGGGGCCAAAGGTTGAACACCTTCTTATAGGTCATCTAATTCCAATCCCTACACAGAGAAGTACCATCCCTATTTAAACTATCCCCAACAAAATTCTGTCTATCCTATGTGGTGTAAAAACTGCCAATTACAGAGATACCACAGTCTCTCTTGGTAACCAGTGTTTCACCACGTTCATAGATGGAATTTCTTCCTAACATCCAACCTAATCTCCCACTGTTGCAATTTACAGCTGTTCTTGTCCTGTCTCCAGTGGATGCAGAGAACAGTTGAGCACCATCCTCTTTACAACAACCTTCTTTATAACAATCGTATATGAAGACTGTCATCAAATCCTGCCCTTAATCTTCTCTTTTCTAGACTAAATAATCCCATTTCTTCCCATCTTCATAAATATCCCATGATTTCCCAAATTGTATACATTTTAAAATATTATCTTACATAAGATTGCAGTCTTTTGTAAAGAGTTGTGATGCTTAAATGATTGACAGATGGGTAAAGAACAGTGTCTCTTGCTAGCTGGGTAAGGACTCACTTGGGATCCAAGTGATTAACCAAGGATTTGAAGCTTCAGTTTTACATACATGGTAGTTTCTGTAATTAAAGTTTCCTTGTGTGCTAGCTGAAAGTAGGCCACAGTGCCTAGGCTTTTGTGTTGTACTGCAGTATGTGCTCTGTTTTATAAATGCCCAGTGTAGCAGGTGCATACTGAATTAAAGGGCTAGGTGCTGTGGAGAAAGAAGCAAATAGCTGTTACCAGCTCTGATTCACCACTGTATTCACCTAGTTATAAGTGAGGGTCAAATCATTCAAATCAAATCAAATCCAATGGAGTTAAGGGTGTAGGAAATTTAGAGTGATGAATTAGGAAGGTATCTGTTGAATGAGGCAGGGCTCTGTGATTCAGTACGTTATCCTGTGGGGGTTGGAGGAGCCTGAATTTCCTCTGCACTAAGGTTGTTACACACTGGCCTGACAATGAAAAGGGCTTTGAAGTAGGTTTAAAATGTATTTATACTGACTTTCAAGTTCCTTTCCATAGTAGTGAAAAATGGGCCTTAGTGTACCTGGGAATTGTACCTTCTCTTCTAAGGACCAACTCTTTGAAAGATGCCTTGTTTTGAGGTTTAAACAAAAAGTCATGTGAGATTTCTGGTGGTGGTGGTGGTATGTTTTGAATTACTGAAATGGCCTTGTTGAATTGATTTATGTCTTTAAAAAAAACTGTCTGCAGTTGTCTAGCGCTGAATGATTTGTTAAGAGGAAGACCGCTGGATGACATTATTGACAAACTTCCAGAGATCTGGGAAACGCTATTTAAAGTGCAAGATGACATTAAGGTAATCAGATTTCCTGTTGGATTATCAGTGAAATACAGAATTATTAAGAAAGTGGTAAGAAAATATTTCCTTAGAAGAATCTTTTATTGGCCTGGAAGCTGATCCTGATAGCTAGCAAAGTCTCTCAGCTTCCACTGAGGTCTAGGGGAGTTTCAAATCCTTGACACTGGTCCAGTTCAAGCCCCTGAATTGGGAAATTTTCTATATGCATCTTTCGTGGGTTTGAAGATGTGTATAAAGCCGATGTTACTTTTCATTCCTGTTAAGCTAGGCCTTATAAAATGCTGCAGCCCTGATCCAGCAGAATGCTGCAGTAGATGGAGCAGTCCATTCAGGGCTGCATAGATTCTTTAAGGTGATGCACCTGTTCACAGTGACACAAGGCAATCTTAATGGCATGGGTCATCTGGAGTATGGGAAATACTTTTGGTGACCAGAATGACAAGACAACCTTATGTGGGATACCATTATGAATTACCACTGTAGTAACTAAATGCTCAGATAATGATAAGAGATTGACCAAACACAGATGGGCCTTTTAAAGGTAACTAATTATGGGCTGCAGACAAGACATATTAATGCTTGTGTTTAAAAATCCATATGCTTTCAAACATGAAAGTAAATAATGGCAAAATACATTTAAGTAAAATTGGAATTCTTTCTTCTAGGAGTCTGTACGAAAGGCTGCAGAATTAGCTCTGAAAACTTTAAGCAAGGTAAAAAAAAAAAAAAAGCTACTTTTTGCATATAGGGCTGCGGTTTACATGGTGTTATACAATAGTTAGTTTGCACCTTTTTAAGAGTGACTTTTTTTTTTACAAGCTATTCTCAGGTAAATGGTGATTGTACTAAGGTGCAAAGTTGCACTTTATAACCTAGTCAAAGTAAATATAGTGGGCATGTCAAAATCCATGAGTTTGTTGAAATCCATCAGAGTTCTGTTTGAGGAAACCAGGATTGAACCAATCTGACATTTTAAGTCTTACGCAGTTGCTGCAGGAAAGTACTGAATTCTGTTCCTCCGTTGGTCCTTATTTTTTCTGTGAGTATCAGACTTAGCGGAAGGTGTTATGGGCAGAATGTGGTACACGTTTATCTAGCACCAGTATGCAGTTGTCCAAAGAGGGTTTTGCTGCCCTTTCTAAGGTTCCAGAAGCTATTCTGGTTGTGGACATGCTAGTGTTCTCACTGAACATTTGACCCAGTCTATTCTGCAGATGTTTGTTCATTCAGACCGTTAATAAGTCAAGCTGAAGCTAGAAGAGGGTAACACCTTAGAGACTATTTGGTTTAGAGAGGCATAAACTTTCATACGTGACAGCCTGCTTCATCAGATACTATCAAGCTGTGGAGGGTCTGTGAAGCACCATCTCTGCACGTGGGCGAAAATACAATTCCTGCTTGCCGTGACCCTTTCAGGGGAGAACATGGGTAGAGTGCTTGACTAGAATTTGCCTTCAGTATTTTATTTCTCTTACAGAAATGTACAGGCAGTCTGAGTTTGGTCGTGTGTGTGCAGGGGTAGGGGGGCATTGATCCATATTGCTTTTAATTCTGAGAGAAAGCATTAGATTTATCTGGAATGAAAATTTTGGTGTGTCACTGACTCCCTCTTACATGTCATCAGGTATGTGTGAAAATGTGTGACCCCTCCAAAGGAGCTGCAGGCCAGAAAACAATAGCTGTGTTGCTGCCTTGCCTCCTAGACAAAGGAATGATGAGCACAGTGACTGAAGTCCGAGCTCTCAGGTTTGTCTTGTAGCCTGTGATTTCTTTTGGGTTCTTTTGAGTTAAGACATTCTAGTCTCTCTGAAGATCATAGAATCAGAGAAGGTAGGAAACGGACCATGGGAGGTCATCTAGTCCAACCTCCTACTTGAAGGCAGGATCATTCCTATCTAAACCATTCTGTGCAAGTGTTTGTACAGCCTGTTCTTAAAATTAGATGAACAGCCCTGTTACACGACTCCCAAGCCCATTGTCCAAGAAAATCAAGAACACCATAACCTGCCACAGGTAAAACAGGGAGATGAAGACCTGTCACTGCAAGAGCAGGAAATGGTTGTGAAGATACACTTGAGAGAATCAGTGAAGAGGATCAGAAGCTCAGGTTCAAATATTAGCAAGTATCAGGAGGAGGGTTCTCTCCTCCTTTCTTGCAGGGAGTAAACTGACATTGGTGCAGTTTTCTGTGTGCAGGACTCCCCCACAGGACCTTACAGAGTGCAAATATGTCTGTTCTACATGCATGCTAAAGACTGCGTCACATCATTTTTCATAAGCGTGCAAGTTTATCCTTGTGTTTTCATGCCCACCATGGCTCCTTCCTCTTAATCATACTCTTGTAGTTTTCCCTATGCTAGTTTTGCATATCTCATGGGTATCTGCATTTCAGTTGCACTGAACACAGACATCTAAATGTGTGTAACAGCCCAGGATCTGTTGAGACAAAAGAACTTCATGCACTTAAATGTTGTCATTTGGTAATTTTTCTGCCAGTAGAGTAAATGAAACCTTAAACAGGCGTCTGGTTTCAAGTAGAGCTGCCTTTTGCAAGCATAATTTAATGCCACTCAATATTATCATCTGACCAGATTAAGAAATAATAAAATATAAAATCTTTGATTTTTTTTTTTTTTTTTTTAATTCTGGGGAAGCTTTGAAAGTACTTTGCCTTTCAGACTCTCAAGTGACATTGCCTTCACCCTTATTTGGCAAATAACTGTTTTGAGGGAGGGTATGCAAACTGAACATGTTTGAGAGATGGTGTGTGTGGTATTTCTGAACTGACATGGCATGTAGCTTCTTTTTTTAACTTCCTAATTTAGTTGTTCCCTATCTGCAACATTTTGGATGTGCTAGATAGTAGAGTAAAATGTTGTGAACAGTGTGAAATATCAGCACAGGCTTGGGGCCAATTCCAATCTTGGTTGCATCAAAAAAAGATCCAGAAAAATTCCATTTTGTAGATGCACTCCAAACTGAGACCCAGATTTGAATTCAGACTTTTGTTCGCTTAGCGTTCTAAAGAGTACAAGCTACCCTTGATGAAAGGGCTTTCTTAACTCACTAGCTCTGCAGGCTTCTGTAGTGATATACTCTTCCATTGTCTTCCAGCATTAACACTCTTGTGAAGATCAGCAAAAGTGCTGGGGCTATGCTGAAACCTCATGCACCAAAACTTATTCCTGCCCTGTTGGAGTCCTTAAGTGTGCTAGAACCCCAGGTTCTCAATTATTTGAGTCTCCGTGCCACGGAGCAGGAAAAGGTAAGTATCACAACTATGAAAGACGTTTTCAAAGTAGCATCTCAAAGATTTATAGCTTCACAGCCTTAAACCAAAATCTTCCATAGCCTTAAACCAAAAATCGGTGGCTCTGAAGCAGAGACATAGCAGGGTATGGAGGGGAATTAGCTAACAGATCTACTGCCTCTTGTTTGATATGCATTTGGAGAACAAGAGAGAGATCAGGTATTGGTCCTAAAACATATAATGCATAAAGCAGAAAAGTAACAATGGGTGGGCAAGCTGGGCACGAGCCTCAAACGCTACCTAAGATAGGGATGCCTCACCCTCTTGTGTCCCCATGCCCTGCACCTTCCCTGCAGTACATGTGGTTTAGTTTATGACGAATTCCTAGTCTGCTAAAATTACAACTTGCCTGTGTTTTGCTGGAAATGCACACTCCTCTAAGTTAGTGTGGAAGCAGCTTCCATGTAAGGTTGAAATCTGGGGGCATTTCTAGTGGAATACTTTTCTGCTGTCTCCACCCTGAACCTGCTTGGTTGTCTTTTCTGCTTTCTTTAGACTGCAATGGATAGTGCAAGACTCAGTGCTGCTAAATCCTCTCCCATGATGGAAACGATCAATATGGTAGGTATTTGATTTAACCACATTTTGGAGTAAAGATTAGTAATAACCTAAGTAGCCACATGATGGGAAGTTTTTCTTTTTGCTTTTATCAGGTTGTCGGATACCTCCTGCACTGCAGTCTTGCTCATACTTTTATTTTGGTTATTGTCTTTTCTCCCAAGTACACATGTACCCACTCCTCAAACTTTTTCTTCCTCCCCCTCTGCCATTCTTCTTAGTAACCAAAATGCAGACATATGGACATATTCTCACCTGGGGTGAACTATCATGACCTATGATAGCCAACTCCAGGTGAGAACCTGCCTTCCAGTTTGGTAAAGAGGGTACTCATGAATATCTGACATGGTATTCATAAAGATGAATACTTACGATGTTCCACAGATGGCACAGGGATGACTGAATGTTACAATGAAGGGACTCCTCAACTTATTTGAAGCAAATTCCTTCTCTCTAATCACCTTTTATCTCTATCAACTTTGGAACTGCACATTTAATCTTGCTCCTAATGTAGGCCTCCCAAGCAGGGAGGCTGAAGTAATTGCTTTTGAGCACTGGCTCAAACCTCTGTTTTTTCTCTCCATTCCTCTGTCTTTCCAGTGGTGTTTGGTGCTTTGGGCATTTAGATCCAGTACCAGTTTTCTTGCCGAGCTGGCTTCTTGGTGTCTGGTACTGATATATTAGCACTGCTCAGTCAGGGTTTCCTTCTGCTTACCTTCTGCGGAATTTAAGTCTGCACCAAAATTTTTTCTTCTCCTTCC